CCATCTCCAGCTCGTGCTGACGATCAGCTTCCCTCTGCACCACCTCTCTCTCAGCCCGGCATTCCGCAGCTTCTCTGTCAGCCTGGTGTTCCGCAGCCTCTCTGTCAGCCTGGCGTTCCGCAGCTGCTCTGTCAGCCGCTGCTTGGCGTTCCATGAACCGCAGGTATGCCTCAGGATCTGTCTCCTTGATGCGTTCCAGGGCTTCCTGCATCTGAGGAGAGTCTCTGCTGGTTACAGGCACTCCGGTGCTGGCCCGCTCAGGCGGTAGTGTGAAGATAATATTTGATGATACTCCAGTGTCAGTCTCTGTATGCCTCTCCGGCGAGGCCATCTCTGAGCCACTGGGGTCGGATGTAGCGGGAACCCCGTCATGGTCAAGTTCCCGAGAGTTCTGATCAGCTCGGATATCATACTCCAGTAGGTCCCAAATCAAATCTTCACGATTTTTGCGACCATTCCTCTAGAGGTACATTCTGCCCTCAAATCACCTTTGCTCATTTTCTCGTATTCTGCTTCACCAGGCATAATTGCAAGCAAAGATAGAATAGAAAGTAGAAAAAAGAAGGAGCTGTTGCTATATGTCTCTCTCTCTCTATAATAAAAATATGCACCGCTTGTTTCTAAGGACTGTTTCCACAAAGGTTACAATCCTTCAGTGCAGAGCTAATTCCTAACACTGCACTGAAGCTCTTAACTATCCCACGTAGGCTGCCAACCAATATGTGATGGGCGCGGCGTCAGACCCCTGACCTTCTCACCAAACTCATGACCAAAGGACTAGCCAATCTAACACCGTGATTTCACGTGCGTAACAGTGCCACGCCCAGCTGCACCCTGCACACCGATTTTCCAGCTAATTGGACCACAATCAATGTACCTGCAGCCTGGGAGCGTTTGCTACTGGGTCAGGTTAATTCCGCAATTAACCCTTCACACTGCCACCACCTCCTTTTTGTACAGAGAAAGAGGAAGCTCAGCAATACACTAGGATGATTGGTTAATCGTCGGTATACCGCTATCTCCACAGACAGGTTATACAGAGGGTTAAACACTCATAGTAGCGCTCTTCAGCAGCAGGGATTCGTAAGTCACATTAAAGGGCTATAGAAACAGTTCAACACTTTCAGAAAGTAAGATTTATTACTAAAAAGTCAAAAGGGTTCTTGCCTGGAGGTGAGCCCCTCCCATCTGGGCCCCCTTCCCAGGATACTGCTCTCCAGCCTCACTTCCTCTCCATCTTCCACCTGAACTCTCCTCCAACTCTCCCTCTACTGAGCAGGCTTCGTTACTCTTAACCACTTCCAGTCCAGACACTTTTACCCCCTTCCTGACCAGGGCAATTTTCAGCTTTCAGCGCTATCACACTTTGAATGACAATTGCGCGGTCATGCAACACTGTACCCATATGATTTTTTTACCATTTTTTTGAGACAGATAAAACTTTATTTTGGTGGTATTTATTCACCGCTGGGATTTTTATTTTTTTTGCTATGTAAATAATAATAAATAATATTTCATCATAAATCTTGGCCAAAATTTATTGCGTTATCTTTTTAGTAAAAAAAAAATAAGCCAAATTAGTTTATAACCAAAAATTATAATTTTTAAACATTTTTTTTTTTTTTTTTTTTTATATTATTATTTATTTTATTATGATTTTTTTTACATACTGTCACCCTAGCAGTACAGTGTCACCATGGTGACACTGTACTACTTTTGGGGGGTGATGAAGATTTTTTTTTTTACACTGATTGCTTTTACACCCATATAGGATATAAAAGCTTTCATTTCTCTTTCTCTCTGTCTCCATTCTTGCAGCCATTGAGAACTACTGAGTGAGCTGTGATTGGTCACAGCTTGTCACATGGTACAAGGCTGTTGTGAATAGCCTTGTACCATGTGACCTCTGTGATCATTCACAGATTTCACATGTAGTAAGCAATGATGTCACAAGTGACATCTTGCTTACTACTTTGCATGTGATCACTGATTGGCCAGAGGTTGTGTCCAATGATCGGTGCTTCACTGTGTCCGGAGGACACAGCGGGCACCGGATTGCGGTGCTGCGCGCTCCCGAGGAGCGCGCACAAGCAGGGTGCAGGGAGGCCGTTTATAAACGGCCACCCGACCCTGCAGTGCCACCGTCCGGCCGTTTATATACAACGGCCAGTCGGGAAGTGGTTAAAGGCTGCCCTGACCCATTGCCAAGCCTCCTGTTAGGGATTAGCTAGAATCCTCTAAGAGTACAGACTAGCCACTCCCTACCTCTGCTCACTGCTTCTAGAACTTTCTCCAAAGTTCTTGTGCAGGGGGAAGTTTCAGAGAGCTAGTTTGCAGAGCCTCTTAGCCTTTGACCCACCTGGCTATTGCACCAAGGCTGCTACTCAGCCCTCTTGACTAAAGATTAGAACTAGAACTCCTCCTAGCTGCCTAGGAGGGTGCTACACAGTAATTCAAAAAATAAATATGTACTTTAAATCTTTTATTCTGTGGTCAAGTGACCATGCAGCCTCCTTCTTCTCTACTGTGTGTTTGGACAGTAAGTGGGTTGGCATAGTGTGACGTCACACACAGCAGAGAAGTACGCACTTTCTCCACCTGTGTGCAGTATTCAGAAGGCTGACCCATGCTCCCACAAGCTGCAGCTTCAACACAGCATGATCCAGTTTGGGGGGGAGGGGGTTGGGGGCATAGCCACAAAACTCACTAGGGGCGTGGTCACATAACTGACTAGGGGCGGTGTCACAAAACTTACTACATGGGATACTAGCATACTATGCATTAGTGTTGCCTTTTGTACCTTCGAGCCACGAACCCAGGAATGCTGACCGTGCCAGCGCTGATCTGCTTCCATGCTTGGCATAGTCAGTTGGAGAAAGGAACCAAGGGCAACGGGCAGGACCACTTGCTATCTAGCAAACTTAAATAAAAAGTGTACAGGTTGCACTTATTTACACTACTTTTGGGTAACATAAATGCAAAAAAATAGGGAGAGCTAACACAACCCTTCCTTTCTTGGTTATTACAGTGTAAATGAATGATAATATAACTAAACCATAACAATGTAACCAATATATCATGTCTTCTGCAAGCCCAACAATAACTGGCGACCACAGCTATTTGCCATACTGTAAGATGGTAACATTGACTTCCCCCACAACACGTGACACTAGCCAATCACAATCTTGCAGCCTGAAATTGCCGTCACACCGTAATCTTTGTAATAGCGCCTCATATGTGCAGACTTGCAGAGGTGGAGAGGGGGTACGGCTTCGTGTCTATGTGAATCATTACGGCCGCCCCAGAGAAGTGTGAGCTGCGTGCAGGGAAGTTGTCGGCGGGCACGTTTGATTCCTAAACATGTCTTCCAGCAAGAAGAAGAGCAGAGGGAAGGCCGGCTCCTCTCCGGAACCCTCCGCTCACAGCGGACAGCCATCGCTGCTTAAAGTCACCGACTTCTTAGAGAAAGGTAGTAATGTCTGCGCTCAGCACTGTGAGCATGCCTAGTTCTCTCCCTCCCTAGTACTATCTATGTGGCAGCATGTTGCAGGGTCTGGTGTCATTCCCTGCACTCTGAAGTCAACCAGGGAAACATTCTGTAACCGTGTTAAAGGAGAAGTATGGTCAAAGCTATTTTTGGTCATACTTCTCATGTGGGTCTCTGGAGTTGCACTGGCTTTTGCTCTCCAGAATCTACGGACAGTGAGTTCACTGTTAGCTGCTGTCACAGAGCAGGATCCTGACAATAATGTCGGGATCTGCCCAGATGCCTGATTGACAGCTGGTTCAGTCTTTCAGTGTGCCACTGAGAGACTGAGCCATATGCTCCTGCCCCTCTACAGCCTGGTGCTCCAGTGAGCACTGGAGGGGCAAAGCACACAGCCGGTGACTGCTCTTAGCGAACTGAGCGATCAGTGGTCACATGATTAATCCGTTCTTGTTTTTAGAGCTGGTGGGGGAGAGCTTGCTGCATTGGACCAATGCTTTAGCCATATCGGGCAGTATAGATGTTTATTTTTTTCAGACGCTCACACTTCTTTAACCATTTCAGTACAGGGCAATTTCACCCCCTTCCTACTCAGGCAGGCCACTTTTCAGCGTTCAGTGCTGTTGCACTTTGAATGTCAACTGCGTGGTCATGCAACACTGTACCCATATGAAATTTTTATCCTTTTTTGATAGACCTTTTTTTTTATTTTTTGGTGGTATTTAACTCCTTCACGCCTAAGGATAAAGCAAATATTAAAGCCTAAGCACAATTTTGCAACTTTGACGTGTTCGCAAAACCGTACATATCACAGCTACTTTGTGCATGCAGGTGGATTATACCCTGCTTTTTTTTTTTTTTTTTTTTTTTTTTTTTCAGGACAAATTGGGCTTTCATTTGGTGGTAAATAGTAATGTATATCCTCAGATTTTGTTTTAATATTATCAAAGGAACATTGACCCAAAATAGTAGAAATTTTTTTTTTTAATTTGGCTGTATATTTCATGCAACTACCATAACCAGCCACCAAAAAACAACCCCAAATAATTTCTCCTGCTCCTGACGATTGCAGTGCTAAAACGTGTGTTTGTCGGTTGTTGTTTGTACCTGTAGTACATCCCAGTCACTAACTGACACTGAAACTAATTTAAACATTAACCACCTTCCGCCCGCCCTATAGTACAATGACGGGTGGATCTCTCGTTCTGATAGGACGTCATATGACGTCCTACCATTCTCACTGCGCATGCGCAGCTCAGGGAGCGCGCAGCGCGGTGATCACCAGTGCGCTGTGTCCCTCGGACACAGCGGATCATGGAAAGAGCCGAAGATGTCGGCTTGGTCATGTGATCAGCTGTGTCCAATCACAGCCGATCACATGTAAACACGGAAATGCCGGTTATCGGCATTTCTCTCCTCTTGAGCTGTCACGCTGACAGCTCGAGAGGAGAGCTGGTAATCGGCTTTCCGCGGAGGGGACATGTACACTGATCATCAGGGCACTGATGATCAGTGTGGCCCCAGACGTGCCACCTGTCAGTGCTCGTCAGTGCCACATCAGTGCATACCAGTGCACATCAATGCCACATATCAGTGTCCATCTGAGCTGCCAGTCAGTGCCACCTATCAGTGCTGCCAGTCAGTGCCACCTATCAGTGCTGCCAGTCAGTGCTGCCTTTCAGTGCCCATCAGTGATGCCTGTCAATGCCCATCAGTGCAACCTACCAGTACCTCCTCATCAGTGTCCATCAGTACAGCCTATCAGTGCCCATCACTGCAGCCTCATTAGCACACATCAATGAAGGAGAAAAATCACTTATTTACAAAATTGTATAACAAAAACTAAGAAAAAACGTTTTTTTTTTTTCAAAATTTTCAGTGGTTTTTGGTTTGTTTAAGAAAAAATAAAAATCCCAGAGGTGATTAAATACCACCAAAAGAAAACTCTATCTGTCTCAAAACAATTATAAAAATTTCATATGGGTACAGTGTTGCATGACCCGCGCAATTGTCAAAGTGTGACAGCGCTGAAAGCTGGAAATTGGCCTGGGCAGGAAGGGGGTATAAGTGCTCTATAGGCTAGTGGTTAAAAAAAAAAAAATCCTGACCAAGAAAAATACTGACAATGCCCTGACCTTTGCCCTAACCTTGACCCTGGCACTGACCTAGATCAAACCTTGGTCTAGGTATTTTTATTTATTTTTAAATTCTTTATTTTTAAACACCTTTTTTTTTTTCTCTCTGAAAGGAGAGAGACACACAATGTATCTCTCTCCTCCATTCAGAGGGAGAAAACTATACAATGGGGGTGGGCTTCACAGTGACTGATCACTGTGATAGCCAGTCAGAGGTTATCACAGCGATCATGTGACGCGGAATCGAGAGTTCTGGGTCCCGATCGTTAGGACTGGACCCATGGCTCTCAATGACACCTGGGTCTTTGTGCTGGGAGCGTGCCGTGCATTCAGCTCCCAGCAAAAGACAGGTATGAAAATTAGCGGCTCCACGGAAAAAAAACCCAGTTCTGTGAGGCTGCTAATTTGCATACGCTTGGCGTCCAAGGGTTCATTACCACTTTGTTTTTTTCTTTTTTGCTAAACAAACGAAAATTTGAAAAATTACCTACATTTTTGAAAAAAAAAAAAGTTTATTTATCTGTTATAAAATTTAGCAAATAAGTAATTTTACTTGTTCACTGATGGGCACTGGTGAGATAGCATTGATAAGCTGCATGGATGAGCACTGCTGGGGCTGCGCTGATTAGTGCCCTGATTATCAGTAAACAAAGCGCTGTCAAGATTGACACCATGATTAGCTCTTTACAGCAATCTGTGATCAGCTGAGTCTAAAGGACACTGAGCGTGCCCGAAGCGCACCATATGGAGTGTCTATAGACACCCTCCCAGAACGAGAGATCCACCGTGTAGCCATCTTTCAGCTATAGCCATCTATAGACACCCTCCCAGAACGAGACATCCACCGTGTAGCCATCTTTCAGCTATAGCACAGTAATGAGAAGGTTAAAGCGCTCCTAGTCCAATATTGATAGGTATGCTGCTTAAACACATTCTGGGGAGATCAGTAACGCTCCAACAACAATTTGATATACTATATTGGTGATATACTCCAAATATGGCAATGCCTACAATTTGGAAAGGACTTGTCACTGGGTGGGAGGAGCTCGTTGGAATGCTGAGAGACCAGTTCCCCATCCAGGGATGTTGGATTTCTATCGCCCGGCACATTCAGTTCCGGGCGCAGGGCTGGTAGGTTTTTTTCCTACCTTTAGCCCTGCTACGGGCAAGCAGCAGGGCTCACCTGTCAGGTGGAAGCATTTGGCGGTAGCGCTGCCGCCGATTGCTTCCACGCAGTACCAGCCTCTCCGCGCTAACCCCCCCTGTGAGGTTTCCCGGGCTCCGCTTGCCCATCTTCGGGCCTGGCTCGCTATCGGCTAGAGGGGAGGGAGAAGAGAGGACAAATCCGCGATACACATGTCACATATGGCTGCGCACGCCAGAGTGAGAGCAATTATTCTAGTACCAGACCTCCTCTGTAACACTAAACTGGTGACCTTTAAGGAGCTTTAAATGTGTCGACCTATAGAAAATATAGGGTACTGAAGTTTGCCGCCATTTTATGGGCGCACAAATTTAAGGTTTGACAAGTTGGATATCTATTTACTCGCTGCAACCTCATCTTTTATATTATACAAAAAAATAGGGTAATCTATTGCTTTTTTGTGCCCTAAAATTAACGTACTTGTATTATTTATTAAAATTTTGCGGTAAAATCATGCAACATAAAAAATTAAAACCACCACTATTTTATTTTCTAGGGTCTGCTTTCCGAAAATGTATAATGTTTGGGAGGTTTATGTAATCTTCAGGCCAAAATGATTTTTTAAACGTGTACAAAATGGCTCTGGCAGCGAAAGGGATAAAGTATAAGCCCTGACACCCTTTCCTGACAAGCAGCCAATCGTTGTTCATCACACTGCAAGGTCTCTCCCTTGCAGGAGGAGATAAACAGCGCAATGTTAAAAATATTACACGTTTAAGTCGCCATAAAGCCTCTTTTGTTTTTTAAATGCCCCGACATTCCTAAAATCACCTCCGATTTAAATACAGTTGTGGTAAAAAAAAAAAAAATTTATCTGGACAAGTAGGTTGTCATGAGGGACAAGTAGATTGGGGCCCCGATTTAGTCCTTGGACAAGTAGTTGTTTCAAAAAATTTCCACACCCCTGCCAATCAGTTCTGCCTTGCAGTTGATTGACAGTGCATGGCAGTGGATGGGTTCGAAAGTCACTATTGGACTGAATAGTGGCTATGCCTCCACCCACTGTTGTGTTCTGTCAATTAACAGCAGTGTCCTTGTCACTTCCTGTGAGCCGCATCGAAGAGGTTCTTCTTTCTTAGCTTTTTTTTTTTTCTGTAAGCTACCATTTGCCTGTCCTCAGTGTAAAATGGTCGAAGAGATGAGGCAATGTTTGTAGTTCATATTAGAACAGCCTAGGGTGACAATCATCGCTCACATATATACAGTAGAGGAATGATGTAGCCATCAAGGAAGTGTGTTATTTTTAGGATTGCCAGGTGAAAATAAAGCAAAATATTTAAAAAAGATAACAAATGCAGTCACCACACCAGGGACTAGTAAGGAGCAGCAATATCTTACATTTTTGTTTTTTTGGATGTAGACACCCCGTACCGGGAGTTGTCAATCAGATGATTGTGTAAAGAAAAGCGAGACCATCCTATTTAGATTATTAAGGGCATGAACTGCCTCTATATGCGCTTAGGTAACTTTTTTTTTACCTGCCTTTTCCATATCTTGTTAAACATCCAGCAAGAATGGTAAATAGACCATTTTTTTATTGTTGTATAGTGAGTATGCAGAATTACCCTGTACTGTGCAGTAGCTTTTTTTCAGTAAATTATTTTAATTCAAATAGAATATAGGGCTATATAGATGCTTCAATTTAAAACCCTTCCACTCACATCTGCCTTTCACCCCCTTCTAAACCTCATCCAAGTGCCCCATTCAAGTCCCTTGCTGCCTCTGGTTATGATGCAGGAGGCTACTAATCCAGCACTGCAATTGCGCCCTCAGATATCAATAAACGCTACTATGTTTTCAGTGGCGGCAATATTTACCCTCAGCATTGGCAGCAATAATAAACACTCTCTTAAAGTAATTCTAAAGGCAACATTTTTATTTTTTAAAAATAACAAACGTGTCCTACTTACCTGCTCTGTGCATTTGTTTTGCGCAGACAGGTCTGGTCCTCCTTCTGGGGTCCCTGCCAGTCTCCTGTCCCCTCCCCCCTTGCTATGGGGCCACTAATCTGATCTGTGTTCGCTCCCCAGCTGGGTCTGTTTGTTCATTGACACACAGAGCACAGCTTGACACCCCCCCATGCTCACTCCTAGCTGGCTTTGATTGACAGCAGCAGGAGCCAATGGCTCACGCTGCTGCCTTTAAGTCCAGTGAGGAGAGAGATAGAGCTGCTGCTATTGGGCAAATTGCTGGATCGAGATTGGGTTTGGGTGAGTATAGTGGGCGTTGGGGAAGGGGGAACTGCATGCAGAAGGTGGTTTTTTTTTTTTTTTTTTTTTTTTTTTTTTTTTTAAACCTTAATTCAGAGCAGAGACTGCATTCAGGTAAAAAAAAAAAACCTTCTGTCTTTTGAACCACTTTTAATTGAGGTGCATAGGTGAAGAATGTAAACCCTGCCCTTTTCCCTCTACTAAGATGGCCACCTTCACACAAAGACGAAATAAAGCAAAGCTAAGTTAGTAATGGGGGAAAAGATCAACTGCAGGGAGGCCACAGGCAACACTGGTGAACTAATCTTTTGCCATTCTTTTTCGGGAACCTCTTCCAAAGTTCACTTTCTCTTTAAGGTGCTACATAGTGATAAATGATAAAATGCTGCCTTTTTCTACATAAAATACCGTGCTCATATAATTAAAGTAAAACGTGATAAATGATTAACTCATTTACCGTGAAAGGCATCCAATGAAATACCTTAGTTATTTCAAAGTCCATCCAACGTGTCCTTTATACTTAAATTCGATAACCACAATTAAAGGTCTCTAAAAAAAAAATCCAGTGCTTCTTAATCCAAATTTCAATATGTGCTCCAGCAAACCATCTGTAGTGGAGTACAACGTACAGTAGTACCTGCACTGCTTCTCCAGCACCTCGGTATCCACATTCTGAGAGCGGGTATGTGCATAAAGCTAGACACACCTAAATGTCAGTACCTAGACATGGCAGCTGGACACTCAGGAAGTAAGCACTGCATTGTGTAGGAATGGCTGCATAGGTAGCCCCCCCCCCCCCCCCCCCAGTTTTGTGTTGTTGTGTTTTCTTTTGTCTTTTTTTTTTTTTTCCTTTTCTTTATTTATACAGTGTCCTGTTACACTAGGTACTATAAATTAGTGCACTGTTTGGAATGATAGATTGGTTTTTATGATGTTAATATTCCTGGATTGCAAATTTTGGTTTTCTGCAATAACGTTTTAATAAATTATAATTAAAGTTTCAATTTACCAATGCTTTATTAATAAAGCTGCATCCTATTTATTTGCCTTTACTGTTGGAATATTTGAACATTTAAACATTAAAATCCAGTGTAAAGTATTTAGTTGTGTGATTCTTATTTTTTCTGATATGCAGTCAAAGATCCAATCTGGATAAATAAGACACCAATGTATCTAAAAATGGAAGTTGATACTCAACTCCCTCTCTTTGTCATTGTCCAGGACATCAATGAGAGAATATGTTTGCTCTCACCTAAACAAGAAACACAAAGTCCTAGCCACACACCA